AACTTTGTCACACAGTCACATAAGTGTTATCCCCACACACAAGATTTTGGTCCCTTTGGATTTGATTTGGTTGGTAGGGTACCAAATCTGTTCCATTTAGTTCCATCAGAAGATGCATGGTTACTCCAAAATGATTAAGACTTTGGTACTTACCCAATACAAATGTGATTCTTGGTTAAAGATATGACAAGTTATCAATCTATACATAGCATTAAGTTTTGTTGTTAGGTTATTTGTTTTCTTATTAAATGAACCAAACTACTATCACATTTCCTTTGAATGATGTTCCTTCTTTTGTATCTTTTTAGCTTACTTGAAATGTTTTCTGGAATTTTGATTAAACCTTGTAATTAAAACCTTATGAAAATTTTATTTATCTTTGATTTAATCACTTTATGGTTTATATCCCCGTGTATGGAATCATGTCATACTGATACTCAGGTTTTTTTTTAATTTTCTGCCATGGTACCATAGCCTGTACAAATTCTTGTACTGGTACCGTATCCGTGTTAGTTAGGACTTCCATATATTCTAATATGTTCCTTTCTTATGCCTAAAGCTAAAGGGGACCAGCGCACTAGGCTCCCACCGAGTAGGGTATGAGATTCATAGATAGATGTGCATAACCTTATATTCGCAAGCAGAGATATTGTTTTTAGGATTTGAACCTATAACCTCAGGGTCACAAGGCAAGCAACCTTAGCCTACAAAATGAAAATTTCATTTTAGAAGTTGGCAATTAGTTTTGGTTTGTATTTTTGAATCCAGCAAGTGGTTTAGAATGTGAGAAAAAATATAGAATTTCACTTGGCCTATTGTTAGCATTATGCAGTTGATGTGCTTTTCGTTCTTTGTTTCGGAATTCTTTTTTTGTTATATCATGCTTTATCAGCCACCAGCCCCCTTCTTTTCTTGCCTAAAACCTGCCTCTTTTTTCCTCAGCTACTTTTATTTTTTTCATCCTTGTTAGAGATTGATTAATACCTGATTAGTGAGGTTAAATATAACTGTCAGAAATTTGGATACTCCTGTTAAACGGATAATTTCAAGCATGTATCTGTGTACATTTTTCATGATATATTTATCTGCTTTCTATTGAAATGCTGATGATTACCTGGTGCCTTAATGCAGTCAACGTGTGCTAGTAGTTGCAGAAGTCGTGTTGCGGCATCACTTGTTCAGCATTGTAGTTTAGTTGAAAGAAATGACTGTGCTTCATACCGTGAATCCCCCGCTAGTTACAGTAGCTCAGTGGATGTAAGCATATGTTTTGTCCATTTGACTATTGAGCAGTTCTATGTCAGTTTCATAGTTCAAATAAAATTTAATTACTAGGGCAAGTTCTGTATGGTTGAAATGCTTTTCATATTCCATCATATTGGAAAAAGTTTAGAATAGGAGTAGCCTTTTTAGAATTATTAGTTTTAAAATACTTTCTGCTATTTTTTTAGCCTTTCAATTCATTATGCCATTGAACATGTATTCCTAAGATTTATACCCATGAGTTTTTAGCATTCTTCCAGCACTTTTTTTACTTGATTTAACTTGAAATTTTATGGGTTTAGATGATGGGCTTCTACCAAAATCATCTTCTATAAAATCTCTGTTTAGTTTGAAAAAGATACTGATATTTTAATCAGATGGCGTTTTCTTAGTTTTTGATTGCGGCTTGACATTTTCGCTACTCCGTACCCAAAATTTATATTCATGATGCATTACTCTTCAATGGTTCTTCTATGACAATTTTTATACATCTCTTAGCTTGTGTTGTAGACCAGATAACTTTAGAATGTTATTATATCCCTTTATAGCTGGTATGAACTGATGCATATGTAATTTGCTTAAACAGGTTACACCATATAATCACACAGTAACTTCCACAAGTTCCTTAGGTTTCAAAGACGTGATTGGAGAGTCAAGTCACAGCCATAAAGCATCAACAAAGTTTGTTAAGATACTCAACCGTATCTGGACTCTTGAAGAACAACATGCATTAGATATATCAGTTGTGAAAGGCTTGAAAATGGAACTAGATCACTCTCAAGCGCAGATGAAGGAGTTACTACGAGAGAAGCAAGTGAATAGGCAGGAAATGGAGAACTTAATGAAGCAAATAACAGTAGACAAACTTTTCAAGAAGAACAAAGAACGTGATATTATTAAATCGACCATGCGATCAATCAAGGAAGAGCTAGAAGATGAGAGGAGGTTACGGAAGCATTCCGAAAGCTTGCATCGCAAGCTGGCTAGGGAGCTCTTTGAAGTAAAGTCCTCATTCTCTGGTTGTTTGAGAAATCTTGAGAGAGATAGAAAAACACGAATTCTTTTGGAGAATTTGTGTGATGAGTTCACAAAAGGAATCAAATCTTATGAACAAGAGGTGAGTTGTCTTAGGCGGAATTCGGAGAATGGTCAGGTTCAAAAGAATAATAGCCCTGATAAGCTAATACTTCATATTTCAGAAGCGTGGCTTGATGAGCGCATGCAAATGAAACAAACTGAATCTAGTAATGATCTCATTGAGAGAAGTTCAATTGTTGACAAATTAGGTTTTGATATTGAAACATTTCTTCATGCAAAACGATCAGTTGATTTGAAAAAATATGGTTACTCCTCCCCGAAGGAGCTCAAAGAAATTCACCGTTGTCAGCACTCACTCGATTCATTTCTACTAAAGGAGACTACAAGTACACCACAGAATATGGCTCCGGAAGATTCCATCAATACCGTCTTCTATGAACCAAAAATGACTTCCGGTGAAGAAGTCCAGAAACTCAGCCCTCGACTACTACAATGCAACAACGCTACCGACATCCATATGGAAAAGAAAGTCAAAGAGGTTCAGTCAAAGGAAATCAATAACACCATTTCATGTGATGATAATGAGACTTGCTTTCTGGAGAGGAAATTAAGTAAAAAAATGGGAGTAGACAACATTGCTCTAATAAATGAAGATGCCATACAAGGTTTACAAGAAAGTGTGTTAACCTCAAGTGCTGATAACCCTGTTGGAAACAGTTCCTTGTCATCAGAAGGTGATAAGGTTTATCCTGAGAGTATTTGCAGGGCAAACTCTTGTGTCCAGTCTTCGGTTACAGCGGGTGGTAGTTCTGTAAAAGTGTTGAAATCGAAGTTGAGTGTTTCCGATTTCGACATGACGGAGTGTTCCACCAAATTGCCTAAGGGTGTAAAGGAAAACACATTGATAGCAAAACTTCTTGAAGCAAGGTTAGAGGGACAGAAATCTCGTTCCATAGCTAGCAAAAGCACTTCCTGATCAACTAGACAAGTTCCTGAATCTTGTTTACATATTATCACTCTAATTCTAATAACCATTTTGTATACCAGAATCTTGTTTGTTATTGACATGGCTACTGCATGAACATCAGAGTAGTGTCTGGTTTTCTGTAAGACATTTCTCTAGATTGTCTATGGGCTAATTAACAACATGTAGTGCATATTTGGTTTCATGTTGCTATACCCTTCAAATTATCGAGAGCGGATCCACTTAATCCAGGAATAAGTTTAAAACCTTACTTAATATCCTAGTCAAATAGTATTATGCTAAATGTAATTATGAAACTCTAACACGCCGTACCCTTACTCTTGATGAGTTTAGTTGGTTTTCCATCAAAATTGTCATTCACTGATTTTCAAGATAAAAATGATTAAATAAAACATCCACTAATAGTGCACGATTAGGATGGAGAAAGGTACTTTTTCAAGCAAATAGAATTTGGCGTTCCTGATTATTATTTAACAAAATTCCCTTTTTTTTAGTTTTTAAGGAATATTATGGGGACAAAATGTTCGTTCAACTATTACAATTATTTGGGATGGGTACAAACTCTATCACAGTTTCACACGATTATGAAAGAAGATTAATTTGGGGAAAAACTTTCAAACTTTATTATAAAGCAAAAAAAAAAGGAAAAATGTCATATTAGTGATGAATATAGTATAAATATGGTTTCTTCATAACTAAATCAATTCAAACTTCACACAATATTTAGTTTGATAAATTTGATTAAAGGAACGAGTAAAACTTGAGTTTAAAAGTGAGCTCATTAAATAAAGGAGATAAGCTTGAATTGTATCGATTATATATCTAAATATGTTTTTTGGTACTGCCAATGATATGTCATCACTTTTTTGGATAATAAAATAATCATTTTCGGGGTTCGTGATTGTCCGTTGTAATAAGTGTCGATCTCAGGAATCGAATATTTGACATTTGATTATTTCTAGGAATCTAGTAAGACCTTATATCAATAGATTAAGGCATTGCTAGCATCTAAATATATTATCATATAGAAAATCTTTAAATTTATACATATTATTTATATATATAAATAAACACATATATACATACTTTAAAAAAATATTTTATAATTATATTTTTATATTAATATATGAACATAATATTATATACATTAAAATTAAATTCATACCAATTTAATTGTCTCATTCTTTTCTTTCATATATGTATATACACATTTATGTATATCAATCGTCATCACTTAAAACTTATGATCTATATAAATTGGTTTATGCACACTCATACATGAGCCTTCTCTCATAAGTGTAGGTGTTTCTACCCGCCTTTTATTCGATTAAAAAACAGGAATCCTTTTAAAAAAAACCAGAGAAAAAGATGTATGAGACCTATTTTAAAACGGTTATGCATTATTAGGAACTATTTAAATATTGATCCAATCAGGCAATTAAAACAAAAGATCTTCAATAAAAAATAACATTAAGTTAATAAAACGGTTCACCAATCCACACACACCAAGATCCCATAATGAGATTTTCTAATAAATATATTCGATACTCTAATTGAATGGCAAGGATTACAATAAATCAAGCTTAGTCTTGGCCTATGTAAAACCAAGTTATTCATCTTTACAAGCATCACAAACCCACTTTCTCAATGAGAACATATACTTGTGTAGATTTTTACATTTTATTTTATTATAAACATAGTTGTGTAGTTTAATATACCCAAGTTGGGGCTCTCTTGGCTCCAATTCTAAAACTAAGTGATGGTAGAACTAGCTGCATTTTCATGGATACCTTTGATTTCACAGCAAATAAACTTGGGAAGCATGCATGTGAATGTCATGGGTTTGCATGAATCTGGAGATGGGGTTACCTTTATCTTTTTGTATCGGAGTGAAGGGAGCTTCAAATAGGCTCTTATTCTTACTTAAACCCACACTTTATATTTATCTATTCTCTAATTCATCAATAACAATTCTCTTCTTCACATTGATATAGTGGTGTAAGACCCCAATGATTAAAATGTCAATAGTATAGTGGTGTAATACAAATGTGTGTGTTTTTAATTTATTTTAAATTGTGATATGATTTATTTATCATATTTAACAAATCATCTGAGATTCTGAGGATCAGGGTAGAGTGTAATTTCCCTTTTATCTTTGATTTGAAGATTATTTTACATTTTTATGCATAAATAAGATGAGTAAGAAAAACATTGCTTATAATATATTATTTCTATCTAACTCTCTGTATACAATTTGTTCTTATTTTTTAATAATAGGTTCAATATTGCTGAAGTATATAGCCAACAAGGATAGTTGCTTCCAATTCAAGTAAAGTCAAGGAATGTAAATAACTTAATTTAGAAGTTCTATGCTGAAGCCCTTTTACCTCAATATGAGATCTTCGTATAGAAGTAGTTCCTTGAGTAGAAAGATATTGGAATGTGATCTTTAACATTTCTAGTCATACAGTATACAGAGTCAAATTATTCCTGTATGCTACATCATTTTTGCCAATTAATAAGAATTAATGTCAATGGTTATTATTTCCCTCAAAATCAATTAGATAAGAATTCTTCGTATCAAATTCCGCATACCGAGTTTGTCATAAAGAAAGTCGTGTAATAATATACTAATGAACAACCGGATATTGTGTATACGAACCCTTACATCACAACCCTTTATGATCAAATCATTTTCCAGATTGGTTTAGTTGATGTAAGACACTTTGTTGTAGCAGCATCAGATGAATGAAACTAAGATGTTATCATACACTCATTCTGTACATGGTACAGTTGCAGATTTCCATCCGAAAATCGGGTAGCGACAGGAACAATGAGTATGATGTATATTTAATGAAGCATTGGGAATACAAGACTAAGGCTAACCAGCAATCACTAGTAATCTTATTATCTCTTTGATCATAGTGTTTGGTGAAGGCGCTGTGGCTTCATCAGAGTGTTTGGAAGTGCATAGCTATGGGAAGTTTCAGCACAATGAACATCAATTCCCTCTATATTCCGTGGCACATCATTACTACTTTCAATTCTCTGCAACACCTCCAATACTTCACCCATTGAGGGTCTTAAATCCTTGTCCCTTTGCAAACACTGAAAAGCCAATTCTGCTACAGAAGTTATCATCCTTTTCAAGTTCTGATCAGACTGAAAACCAAGGGAAGGATCAACCAACTCCGTAAACGCCTTTGTTTGAATCTTCTTTAAGGCTAGATTTGCCAGCTTAACCTCATCTCTCTCCCTATTCATATCAACTGCTGGTAAAGATGATATTAGCTCAACTAGAACAACTCCAAAGCTATAAACATCACTCTTGCTCGTAAGCTGGTAGCATATATGATAGTCCGGGTCAACGTAACCCGGGGTTCCCCTAGGAGCTGTGGAAACATGTGTGACATCAATAGGAAAAAGTCTTGAAAGCCCAAAATCTGCAACTTTGACACAAAAGTTATTCTCGAGTAGAATGTTGCTGGTTTTCACATCTCGGTGAATGATGTCCGAAGCATGGAGGTAACACAATGCACTAGCAGTCTCTATGGCAATTTTCATTCTCACATGCCATGGCATTAGGCCAGGCTTTGCCTTATCACCATGAAGATGAGAATCAAGAGTGCCATTCGGGACATATTCGTACACTAGCAGCAGCTCGTGGCTGTGACGAGAAGTGCAGCCATAGAGGGACACAAGATTCGTGTGGTGCAGGCGTGTGAGGATCTGAATTTCATTTATGAATGATTCTACTGGCTTGTACTTGTGCTCGTATAGGCGCTTCACTGCAACTTCACGTGTATCTCGAATCTTTCCTGGTTGTTATGGATCAAAATGTTTGTTAGTCAACAAGTCATAAATTGATTTAGGCATTCTATTTTCTTCTAACAATGTGAGTTTTATAGATCACCACAACATACATGTCCTTAGAGCCATACTAATGAATGAAAAAGTGAAGCTTTTGCTATATCTTCAATTCTCTACACCAACTAATCCAACTAGATAATGTAACAAAGAGAAATTGATTCTTGAACATCAAAATAGGGAAAGCAAAATGAATATTAGTCCCTTACCATAGTAAACAATCCCAAACCCTCCTTCGCCAAGCTCTCTAGCTGGGTCAAAATTATTTGTTGCCTCTTCAAGCTCCTCGTAGGAGAAAACGGGGACTCCGAAGTAGATCAAAGTTCCAGTTTCTGTGGTAACATTTGAGGAGGGGCCAGAATTAATGTTTATTGGTTGGTTTTGGTAGCATGAAGAATTGTTGGACCTTCTTTTGTACATAAGGAGAATAATAAACAAGGCAATTATAATCATGATTGCCAATCCAATAGATATACCTGTAGCAAGCAAAGCCTTAGTAAGTTAATCATCCATGCACCATAAAATGACTAAAATCCATGGACATGCAAATGCAAGATTTTTGTTATGATTAATATGAATATTGAAGTTCACATAAAACTGATCAGTCTAAATTGAAGGTACCTATGTAGCAGCATTCAGATCAGAAGAAAACTGATCAGTCTAAATTATCAGAAACCCAACTCAGACAATGTGAAACAGCGAAAACATGTACCTCGAAAAACTGCTTTCGGGTTTTTAAGGTTTCTTACCAATGGCAAAGCTTGGATGTTGTTGTTGTTGTCGATCATCATCGGTGTTGACACACAAGATGTTTTCTTTGGCTGCTCTGCATTGGCCTCCTCTTACATGATAGCAATCAAAACAAAGTTCGGATAATGTTACTTCAACAACGAGCTCGGAACTTAATGTTAAATTCCATGGGTCAATCAAAATAGGGGACAGTGGAACTGGAAGCTGAATAGCTGAGCATCCATCTGAAAGTTCATGATCATAACCATAGACATCATAGTCACTACAGTTATAATTTAGTGAAAGGTTTTCATTGACATCATGGTTATTGGGGTCATGATTGCATCTAATGAATTCAAAAGTGTTTAGTATCTGCAAAGACATCATAGGAGATTCATGAGGAACAATAATGTCACTGACATTATAGTTGAATGCAGTGCATATTGGTGAAACACCTTCAAACTTTGGGTAACGGATGAAAACTAAGTTGTACTCATACTTCTTCTGAAGGATTGTTTCAATTATATACCATTGGTTTTTGAGTGAGATTTCTTTATCTGCAGTGTGATTGTCACAACCCCTTATGACTAAGCCACATTCTGAGTGAGTTGTGTTTGTGAAGGGGTAGTGAATGTTCCCTAGAATTCCACACTCAAAAGACCTAGGACACTGCATAGGATGTTTATTTTCATTTTCAGCTGAGAGAAACAGCAGAAAATAGCAGATAAGAACATGGAAAACAAGAACACAATTGAGAGTGGTACTCATGCTAAAAATCAAAACTATGAACCTAAAACATGAGGTTCGAGTATAACCTTAACTCTGTTATATATTGTCTTCATAATATAGTAGTAGATAGCTATTGTTTTATGTGTGTTAAGTGTTAACTACGTTAGTTGACTTGGACAATTGACTAAGGAAGACTTGAGAAATTGGCTGGAAGGAGGACTAAGCCTATGGAAAATTCTCTTCATTCGTGGGCTGTGGAAAAGGGATGTTTTTTTTAGTGTTTAAGTGAGATGTATGAGTCTAAATCAATTTAGCAATTTGAGATTCTAACTTTACTAGGTGAGAGTCTCGTATAGGTGTACTGACTTTTCTTTATTTATGGGTAAATTCAGTATATACAAAAGATAAAGGGGCATTCCTTTTTATGTTTTTATTACCAACCCCATATGAATTAAAGCATGTAAGTTTCTTTTACATCTTACCAAATTAAGTGATTAATTTCATTATTACTTGCTGACTATAAAAACAATTTTACTTCAGCAAAGTCTTCATATTTGGCCAAGACCAAAAACATTGATTTATTATTCCTGTCCATTTTCCACACTTGCATGACTTTCACGGCTTGGCTTTTGAAACTGCTCCCTATGGTCCATGGTCTGGTTCCATGTAGCACGAAGTGCACGGAAACGCAAGTTGAGACTAACGTAGAAATTTTTGTTTCTGATTTTGAGTTCCAAAGTTTAGTTCTAATTAAAAATAAATATTATTTTTTAAGGAAGGGAAGTGGGACCTATAATCTCCATTCTAATGAAAATATCATGTTTACACGTCTCTTTAATGCACTAGCATCCTAACAAACTTATTAGTGGTATGAAAAATTAGGAAAATGATATATTCTTCTACTAATCTTCTTATTCATAAGAAATTAACATATGTTACTTGTAAACTAATCCTTAATAAATAAATTATCACTTTGTAACATATGTTACTTTTTTGTGGGTATAAGGATTAGTAGGAGGATATATCATTACTCGAAAAATTATCAACAACTTGATGCAAGTGACATGGAACATTGACTCCGGTCTATTTACGAGAATTAGGATCACTTGTCTTAATTTCTGTCTCGATCTAATGAAAAAGTATCACATCATTAAAATGAAAAATTATGAAAATGCAAAATAATATTTTTATATTATTTAGATAAAATTGATTGGTTGGAATATAAGTAGTTGAATTTTGTACATAAAATCTTTTACTAAGATAGGTGGAATGTAGATCGTTGTGATTGTTCATATACTTAGGATTGGTATTATTTGATTTCAAACGTTTGGACTGAATTGCTTAAAAGAAATTAGAACTGTATACTATATATACAAGTATACAACGTTACCAAATATATTCTGCAGACTTATTGTTCACTATATATTAAATGAAAATAATTGTGTATGATATATTTATCTAGTCGGTAAAATCGTGTCATGTATATAATTTAATCATTTTTTATAAAAATATTTCTAAAACTAAACAAAATAATACACATGTCATTTTTTACTGGCCAAATGATATAAGTTATCTCCCTTATATGAGGAGA